CTTCTGACAGACACTTGCTGATGATTAAGTAAAGAGCCAAATGCTCTAACAACCAGCTGAATGAAGAGGCAGCACTGAGCTCTGGTGAAAACAGGCCCTGAACACACAGGTCAGGACAGGAGGCCTCCATCCACCCCACCCACATCCACACACCCGGGGCTCAAACAGCACCGCTGACTGTGGGATAAGGCTGGTTGTCGAGAGCCTGCAAAGCACCACCACTACCATCAGGAAGTAGAAAACCATAATGACAGCTCACAACTGCTGACCACCTGCTGGGTGCCAGGCAGCTCACGAAGCTCTCTGCATTTCCTTAACTTACCCTCCCAGTAGCGATAAGGACACTGAGACCCAGAAAGGCCAAGTCCTTGACCACGCTCACACTACTAAAACTGGTGGAGCCAGGACTGAAGTCCAGGCAGGCTAGCCCCAAAGTCCCCATGGGGGCCCTCCATAGAGGACAGGCTGTTGTGTTAACCATGTGGAGGATTTGACCATGACTCCCAGCTGAGAAAGAAAACCTAAACCTCAAAAATTCAAGCAAATGAACAGAAAAGAGACTGTTCAAATGTATCACAAATCTTTCATCACTCACTGGAAATCCACTCGAAATGGATGTCTCTAAAGCATGACCTTTAGAGGGCACTCCACATGGCCCCTATCGCTATGGTGACTGACCATGTCAACCGGGTGGACACCTGACCATGCTTACATATGATGTGACAAAAGCATCCATTTTGGTCGATATTTGGACTTGCCAAATTGCAGCCTGCTGGACTGCAGGGTCTCTAGACCTCTTTCTAGGAACCCTGTTTTGCACTCCCGAGTATAACTCAAGCACTGGAGAAGCAGATAAAAAATAAAAAGCGTTTAATGATGATCAGAAGAGAGAAAAATGAAGACAACACAACTGTCAAGGCAGAGGTGATGGAATTCCTTAATTTCCTAAAACAATGTATATAAATGCATGTAAAATATACACAATATCTGTAGCCCACATGCTACATACTGGGAAACAAAGTCAATGGTAGCTTCCAGACTCTAAGGTAAGTGTGTTACTCTGAAAATCCAAATCCTTGGCTTAACACAAATCACTACAAATTAACGCTGAGTGCCAAGTATGCCGCGCCTGTGGCGAGGCATCCTCCTGTGACCCTCACCATAGCACTGTGAGGCAGCGTCCAGCAGCTTCAGTGTGGCCCACTCCCTAGTCCAGTCTCCTACATCAAACTGCTTCCCATTAAAAGATGAGCCTTTCAACATTTTCATAACATCTTAAAATTGACCCCTTTTCTAGCTTAAATGGCACACCTCTGGAGAGGCAAGCTACAGGTGTAACAGTAAGAAAAGATGACTGCAGCTGAGGGATTACATAAAGGGCAACACAGTCAGGTGTACCATGAGGTGAAATGTCTCCAGCAGTGCTACCGTGGATGAACCACACCGAAACTGGCAAGGTCCATGATCCTGCGATCCCCTGCCTGGACGCCTAGTATTCTTTACACTGATAACAATACCTCCCCCCATATCCCACTGCTAATGCCTCCAATATCCCTAATCATTTCTCCAGGAATTTAGCCTTAGAGTTTCAGGAGTTCGTATAGCAACTACATTCCCACAAAAGTGCTACATGGACCTCCTCTAAACCCTTCCACAATTCTCAGTGTCACCTGACAAGTCCTCAATGATTCTCTCCAGAGGAGTAACAAAATACTCAGTTACCTAAGAAATTTAAGGACCTTCCATATACCTGAAGGATTTCTGCTGTACATAGCTAAACTTTCTATCCTTCTAAAACCTACCCGTTAGCTTCTATTTCCTAAGAGCATTTTCCTATGCTCACACATGGAGCTATTCAGCAGGCAGCAATAACCATGATAACTAGGAAGCCACTCAACAAAATAAGTCAGAAGCACCTCTGCCATGTACCACAAATAACAATTTGATCATAATTACTCCTCTGTACTCGGAAAATAAACTCCAGAAAGGAAGTTATTTACTGCAAGTGGATCAGGCTTGCAATCTGTTAGTTCTGATAGCCAGCTCCAACTGGCCCACTCACCATTGGATAGTGCCTGCTGAAGCTCGTTGTCCGATATCACTCCACTCCTATCTTTGTCAACCCTACAAAATCAGAAAGTCTAGTTAAGCTAATGATTAAAAGTGTACGAAAAGCAAAACATACCAAAAACAAACGTTGAACTTGTCTGTCGATTCTACACTAACAATGAAATGTTCCCACCAGTAGATCGTTCATTTTGTTCTGCTAGAATGTCATGCTCCCCCACTCCACTGGGGAATAAGGAAATGCTCAGTGCAGAAATCCAGGTCTGATCTTTCCCTGAGAGACCGAATCATTGTCTCATTTCCGGTCTCGAGCTGTCCTCTCCTTTCTCCCCGGCCTGTCCTGGCCTGTCCTGGCCTGTCTGAGTTCCACCTGCACCAGTTTCTCTTTTTCACAAACAGGAAAAGATTCTCTCAGACAATTAAGTCATTCCCTAGCCATGAGTCACTCAAGTTTCCGCCATCCATTCACTGGAAGGACGACCAGGAATGGAAGGCGCTGAGGTAACGGTCACCTGCCCTGAGCAAACGCCAGGTCTCTCCTTCCTTCTTGGCTACTGTCACTTTAACGCTGGAGCAGACTGTTTTCCTAAAGCAAGCATCCCAAGAGATCCTCCAGGAGCGGCAAGAACCACCCCTCAACCCTCAGCACTGGGCGGTTCTGGGCACGGGGAGGAGGCGGGGAGGGAGGACGAGCCTCGGGGCTTCTCTGAGGGGGAGTAAGGGGCCGAAGGCCTGGGGTGGACAGGCCGGGGCAGGAAGCACGCGGGTGGGGCCCGGGGACAGGAGACGGGGTGAGGGGACCGGTAGCAGGAGACCTGGG